AGTCAACAACAAACGTCATCTTAAAGAACAACGACAAAATGCAGCTGATCCGTATTATAACAACATCGACAAACCATAACCAAGAATTCATAAAATTGTAACTGCGTATCCAAGCTTCTACGGACTGAGCCGCAGCTCCACCAGGGCCCGGCTATACCAAGGGTGGATAGCGCTATCCGATGGATAAATCCTTATCCAGTTGATAAATCGATGCTGTTATCCAATAAATTGTCCACTGGATAAGATTTATACGTCGGATAGCGCAATCCACCCTTCGTACAACCAGTTCAGATGATTGCGCAGAGAAACAAGAGCAGATCAACACCTTCTGATCTTACCTTCTGAATTCTTTGTTGATTTTCTTCACGTTATCCTCGTGTTCTGYTCTCAACCTAACATTCTCTTCACGGGATCTCTTAAACTTCTCAGCAGCAATGGCCAAGGCGTTGTCTTGTTCTGCTACCGTCTCTTCCAACTCTCCCAGCCGTGCAAGCTGTGGGACAAAGAGTATTTCACAAGGTTTTTTYKGGGGTTACGAATCAGTGGGAWACTGRCTTTTCTTTGGGCTGGAAAAATGRGATCTTATGCACTGAGAGTGGGATTCACAAACAAAACAAAAAAAACAATCAAAACATGGGAATGCTATTGAGATTGAGAGCAAAAAATAGAATGAGGTTATGAGATTTGGTCAAAATGGGGGCTGGAAAATGGGATTAGGACCGTTCAGGACCCTCTTCCGAGAGTCGACATCAACATGAATAGAGTTCGTTGGGTCTCCCTTGATTCTAGGATTTTTCCCCGGGTTTTCCAGTATTCCTCCAGTACACCCTCTGCAAAACCTAACACGCTCAACTTCAATTTGATCTGTGAGTTAGCCATGCCCTGACTTTGATCAGCCCAGAGGTTGTTTCAGGGTTTAATCTGTGAGTTAGCCATGCCCTGTCTTAGATCAGCCCAGAGGTTGTTTCAGTGTTCAATCTGTGAGTTAGCTATGCCCTGACTTTGATCACCCCAAAGGTTGTTTTATAGTTCAATCTGTGAGTTATTCGTGCCCTGACTTTGATCGGCCTGAGGCTGATTCAGGGTATCGATAAAAAAATGGAAGACTATTGGAAAGAGAAAATGTGTAAATAGGATGGTGTTTAGCAGGAGTTTGAGATCACTTACTTGATCTTCAGTGGCTATCAATCTTCCAGGGGAATTGACAGATTCCTAATCCATAAAAAATTTAAAAAATTAAGGTYAATAACGAAATGTCAACTAAAATTTTGAATTCACGTTTATTTGTGAAAGAGGGTTTCTAGGTTCGTCATGAATGTGTTTTGGAGCTGGCGCATGTTGTTGAGAATCACGTCAGACAGACAGACAGACAGACAGACAGACAGACAGACAGACAGCTACCACTGTTGTTTAGTATCCATGTGTAGAACACTGCAATCATTACGCACAATTGTAATGCCCACCTGATGTGATAATTTCATTTTCTTGAAGACTTCATCAGACTCTAGATGCAGCCTGTCTTGCAGGAGTTTGATCTCAGCCTTATGTTGTTCAGCTTGTTTCCTGGCCTCGTCTCTGGCATCTTTCAACATTTCCTGGTATTTGATCAACGACTGCTCCTTGCGAGACAGCATTTGCTGAAAAAATACAAAACAAAAAAAAGAAATTTAAGCTTGGACCACAAGAAACCCAATTTACAAAATCAGATATTTTTTTGCTCTTTCTCTAGTGTATCGATAGAGCTTGGTCGTAATGTTTTCCTRTTTCAGACCAGTATCCATATCCATGTGTCTTCTAGAGCGCAACCGTATGACAAAGAAAAAACCTGAGTATTAGGAATTYGGGGGGCCTGGGGAGAGGTTGTGGTTCTCAAAGAAATGATACTCTAGGGAATGACTCGTGGTCTGAAATAGGCAAAACATTTCATTATGGTAGAGATCTTTTTGAAGCTAACCGGCAAGTAYTTACCTGTAGGCTGGAAACCGTTGCTTGCGCAACCTTTAAAGCTTGTTTGGACTCGTAATCATCGGGCRTGACAGCTGACTTCTGTGCTGCTGTGGTGATGGCGTCTCTCTCAGAGACTGGAAGACGTAGACGCAATTCATTGATCACCTGCACAGAATAACGATGGATACAGTTTCAAGAACAGTATCATTCAACACCAAAGAAAAACGCTATTGCGGAGAATGAATCATAACGCGATTTTAGTATATTGCAGGGAAAATGTTTTGCAAGCAACGTTGCGCACAGACATTGACGGTCTACAGTTACTACCAATGATGGTTTATCACTCTCTTAACACAAAGATTAGATAGAGTGAAGGAATTTAACCCGCGAAATAAAAAATACTAGTCAACGTGTAATRGTCAAATAGACACAARAGAARACAATGRAMTTARGGTCTACTAAAGTGTATCACTCTAGCATCTAYTTCACGGGTTTAGTGACTTCACTGTAAARACATACTTTATCTTTTTGGACTAGYTTTTCCTCTGCTTGTTTTCGTGCTTGCTCCGCTTCTTCGTTTTTCTGGTTAAAGAAACGTGTAAAAAAAGAATGGATGAATGAACGATAAATGAAAGGATGAGAGTTGGAATGATGGAAGGGAGGGAGAGAAGAAGGGAGGAAGGAATCAACAAATGAAAAGAAAGGAAAGAATTGAACTGATCCACTATTTTCCCATTTTAAACCACATGCCATTCTCTTGAGTATCATTTCCTTGTTTAACGTTTGGACATGAGAGACATGAWTATGGATACAATTCAAAGAAAAAATCTATTCTCAAGAGAATGGCATGTGGTCTGAAATGTGAAGACATTGCTCTTAGGTGTATTAGGCACATCAACGAAGAAAAAGGAAGGAAGGAA